AAAGTGGATTGGAGGTGGAAACCAGAGGCTACCCAGCTTGGAACATCTTCAAGGAGAGGTGAAAGCAGGCAGAAGAGAAAATCCAGAGTTAAACAAGGAAAAGTTTAGTTTCTCTCCTTTATAAAGAAGACATTGGGAGGAGTTTATTACTCCACCCTCAAACCCTCCAATCAGAGGGTGGAGGTGATTGAGGGAGGCTGTGTCAATCAATGATTAAAATTGTATAATGGTGAAAAGATTAGGTGGGATGAACTTAATGAGCATTTTGTCAGAGGAAGTTGAAACCTGGCAGAGGAATAGGTACAGAGTAGAGCTCTAGACAAATCCAACCAGAAGATGGAAATTTGGAAAGTAATTACTGAATGGGAACAGAAAGTAGTTTATATACCTTTTATCTTTGAAGGATACCATCACAAAAACTGACTATGTGTTGCTACATATATTGGAAACTTAATTCTAAAGGACTGATAAATAATAAATCATAGAAATAAACCAACATTTCATTTTAAATGGCAATAGTGTCACAACAAAGTGTTTTGGAAACTTATGAGAGACAGCTAACATGGTCCTAGGGAAATTACATATTTCTAAATATTTTAATAAAAAAAGAAGAGAAATAACAAATCACAACATTAGGCTTTTACTTTAAAAAGAGCTAGAATTACAATAAATTTTAAAGCCATAAATAACCAATAAAATAGAAATTCTGAAAAATCAAAAGAGTAATAAAGTTGATGAATAAATTAAAAAAAACATTGAATTGATTAGTAAAATGACAAATGCTTTTTCAAACTAATTTAAGGGATTTTTTTTAAAGAGAGAGGAAAATCAAATTGTTCATATCAAAAAATGAAAATGAAAAATTCATAATTGAAGAAAAATAATGGCTGTTATCAAGGCTAATATTCCCAATTATAAAGTAAAGCTAACTTTTAACTTAGAGAAAGTGGCTAAATATTTCTGAAAAACAAAATAACCAGGTTAACAAAAGAAATTACTGAAATAATCTAATATCAGAAAATAATTGATCCATCTATAAGTGAACTTAAAACAGTATAGGTACATTAAGAGGATTAAATATTCAAAGAAAAAATTAACAAATAAATAATGAATAATTAATTCTTATATTACATAAAATGCTTGTATCATTAATAAGTGAAGGCACACTTCTATTCTCTTTCAATGATACAAATATGGTCTTGATACCTAAACCAGGGAAAGTCAAACAGAAAAAGAAAAGTATGGACTAATATCGCTAGTGAACATTGATGTAAAACTTTTAAATAAAATATTAGCAATAGACTTTGTCATCATATTAGAGTTATTATACACTATGATCAAATTGGATTTATACTAGGATTTCAGGGTTAGTCTAATATAAGGAAGACTGTAAACATAATAAAATATATGGTCATATCAATAGATTCTGAAAAGACATTTGACAAAAACCATCTTTGTGGGGGAAAAAAACACTAGAAAGCAGAGAAATAAGTAGACCATTACTTAGGATAGTTAACAACATGTTTCTAAAGCCAAAATAAACATTATATGTAAAAGAGAAAAGTTAGAAGATATTCCAGTAAATCAGATGTACACCTGATGACCTACTGCCAATGTCACACCTTGTATTTAAGATAATGTTAGAAATGCTAGCTATGGCAAAAGGGCAAGAAGGAAAAATTGAAGGAATAAGCATGGGTGAAGAGAAAACAAAATTGTCATGTTTTCAGATGATAAGATACTTTACTCATAACCCATTGAAGAACCAAATAAAAATTAATTGAAACTGTAAAATCAACAGAATTGCAGTATATAAAATAAATCCACAAAAATAATTTGCATTCCTGAATATTACTCACAAAACCCAGCAGGAAGAGATAGAAATACAGATTCAATGAAAACAACTATAGAATAAATAAAATTTTTTTGTGATTTCATCTGCCAAGAAAAATGTGGGAAAGATATAAATCAAACTTCCAAACATTATTTGAAGAAATAAATGCAAAACTAAGTAATTGAAGAAATATTAATTGTTACTGGATAAGTCCATACCACATAATAAAAGTGATAGTACTACCTAAATTACTTTACTTCTTCAGTGCTATACAATTAAATTTACCAAAGTAAAACCAAAGTGAGAGGAAAGTGGCCTAGCAGTACCAGATTTCAAACTATACTGTAGAACAGTAATAATTAAAATGATTTGGGACTAGTCAAAAATAGAGAGATCAATAAATAGAACACACAAAAACAAATGAACATATTAGAGTAATGTTTAATATGCCCAAAGACCCCAATTCTCAGGTAAAGACTCATTATTTGGGCAAAAACTACTGGAAAAACTAAAAAGCTTTCTGAGAGATATTAGATGTGGACTAACATCTCACACTGTATACCAAGATAAACTTTAAATGGATATATATATATATAGATATATATATATACTATATATATATATATCTATATATATATATCTATATATATATATATATATATATCTATATATATATATCTATATATATATCTCTTGGACATAAGAAGTGACATCAAAAGTAAATTAGAGGAGAATGAAAGAAGCTATCTTTCATATCTATTGCTGAAGAAGATCTCATGACCAAACAAGGAATAAAGAAAGCCACAGAAGACACTTTGGACAATTTTGTTTATGTAAAATTTAAAAGCTTTTTACTAAAAAAATTGTCAAAATTAGAAGGAAAATAGGCATCTTGGGGGATCTTTACAATATCTGTAAAGCTTTCTTTTCAAAGATTATATGGATGTATACATATATTCACATACACACATGTGTATGCATATACATATACATATACGTGTGTGTGGATGGAACTTATTCAAATATAATAGGCTAAGAGACATTCCAAAGTTCATAAAACACCAGAAGGTATGAAAATGGAGTTTTCAGAAGAAGAAACACAGGGTATTAACGACTTTGGGAAAATGCTCTAAATCAATACTAATTATAGAAATGAAAATTAAAGTCTGAAGTTCTACCTTATATTCATCAGATAAGAAAAGATGATAAATGGAGAAAATGAAAAAGATTAGAGTAGCCAGAGGAAAACAGACATATTGATGTACTGTTGTAGGAGCTGTTGGTAGGTCCAACCATTCTGCAAAACTATTCATCACCTTTGAGCCAGCAATAAGACAACTGGTCTATATCCACAAGGAGATTTTAAAAAGAAGAGGAGAAGGAACCATACATATGGCAAATTTTGTTGTAAAAAAGAACTGGAAATAAAGGGAATGCACATTAATTTGGGAGTAGCTAAACAAATTCTGGCATCTGAATTTAATGTAATATTGCACTGCAAGAAGTAACAATATGGAAAGTTTCATAGGAAATGAATAGTAGAACCATTTATATAATGAACACTATAAAGAAAGATACCTTTGAAATACCTTAGAACACTGATCAATATCAGACTGTGCCTCTAGAAGAATGAAAATGAAGAATGCCACCATTCTCCTTGCAGAGAGATGATGTACTTAAAATAAAAAATGAGAGATGTGTTTTTGACTTGACCAATGTGGGAATTTGCTTTGCTAGATAATGGATATCTGTAATGTAGTTTTTCCTTTTCTTTTTTTTACCAATTAAGGAGGAAGAAAGTGAGAAGGGGAGAAAATACTTGTAAATAATTTTAATTTCAAATAAACAACAGAGTCTTCAGTGGTTTCATCTTGCCTCTAGTAAAACACACACACGTACACATACACACAGGATTACACTGAGAGCAGAAGGAAGGGTAATGTGGAATGGAGTAAATTATCACACATGGAGAGGCACAAAAAACCTATTACACTGGAGGGGAAGATGGGCTCATGGGCAGTAGGCATCACTTGAACCTTCCTCTCATTGGAATAGGCTAAAAGAGGGAATAACACAAGCAATAAGTTAGCTATAGAAATCTATTTTACAGGCAAGGGCATAGGGATTAAGTAAAGGGGGGACTGAGAGTAGGAAGGGAAGATTGGGGAAGGTGATGATCAGAGGAAAAACAAATGAGAAGAGAAAATATGAAAGGAGAGAGAGAAGGATAAACAGGAGGAAAAATAGGATGGAGGGAAGTACATAGTAATCATAACTGTGAGTTGAATAAGATCAACTCTCTCATTGTTTATTCATTGTCCTTCATTCTCAGAGGACTATGACATTAGCAAAGTCATGCCATGACTTGCAAGTGAATTGGATTTAAATGAGGGAGGGCAGTGCAAGGTTGCCTGCTTCACTCTCTCTTCTGGAGCCAGGTAAGTCCAGTGACAAGCTATAGATCAGGATGACTGGAGATGGCCCCTGATGTAGTAGGAGATCTTGGCCTTTTTAAACTAAGGTCTTTCCTTAGGTCTCAGTTTGACTGAGGAAATGGCCATTCAATGATCAAGTCTAAATAAGAAATGAGGCAAAAAAATGGCCTCTTTTAACTAGTCAAAAAAATTAGTCTGGGAGGGGAAGACCCTCAGGATTTCTGACAGAAACTGAAACAATTGCTGTTTTCACTCACTCTGAACCATCAGAGCCCAAACAAACAATGACCAAGTGAGGCTTGGGTGGGGACCTATTTAGTCCAACCAATGAGAGCCAAAGTGATTTGGGTTTAAGTAACAGTCCTTAAAAAAATATAGCCCATAAACCCCAAGATATCTTGTGACATTTCAGTGATCAAAATTTATGTTCTTTTGGGCAGAGTGCCAACAGGTAAGGTGTGATTCCTTATCTGGACAGAGGTGGAGGAGGGAGGGAGATAAGAAGAGAGGAAAGGAAAGGAGGGAAGGAAGGAAGGAAGGAAGGAAGGAAGGAAGGAAGGAAGGAAGGAAGGAAGGAAGGAAGGAAGGAAGGAAGGAAGAAGCTGTATTACTCAACTCACAGTTTATTGTTTATCCTTCATTCACAAAGAGGACCATGACATCCCATAAAGCAGAAGTGGATAGCAGAGTGGATTAAAAACCAGAATCCTACAATATGTTATTTAAAAGAAACACACTTGAAGCACAAAGAAATACAGAATAAAGGTAAGGAGCTGTAACAGGATCTATTCTGCTTTAGTTGAAGTTTAAAAAAAAAAGCAAGGGCAGCAATCATGATCTCAGAAAAAGCAAAAACAAAAATAGATCTAATTAAAAGAGATAAAGAAGGAAATAACATCTTGCTAAAAGGTAATACAGATAATGAAATAATACCAATACTAAATATATATGTATATAATGGTATAGCATCCAATTTCTTCAAGGAGAAACTGAGTGAGTTATAGGAGGAAATGGACAGCAAAACTATACTAGCTGGGGATCACAACTTTCCCTTCTCAGAACTAAGTAAATCTAACCACAAAATAAACAAGAAAGATATTAAAAAGGTGAATAGAATATTTGAAAGTTAGCTATGACAGACTTCTAGAGAAAATTGAGTGGGGATAGAAAAGAATATACCTTTTTTTTCCCCAACAGTTCATGGCACCTACACAAAAGCTGACCATGTGTTAGGGCACAGAAACTTCAAACTCAAAAGTAGAAAGGCAGAAATATTAAATGTATCCTTTTTAGATCATAAAGGAATAAAAATTGCATTAAATACAATGCAGTGGAAAGATAGATTAAAATCAATTGGAAACTAAATAATCTTATCCTAAAGAATAAGTGGGTCAAAGAAAAAATCATGGAAGCAATCAATTTCATTAATGAAAATGACAACAATGAGGCAACATACCAAAATTTATGAGATGCAGTCAAATCAGTACTTAGGAGAAATTTTATATCTCTAATTACTTACATCAATAAAATAGAGAAAGAGTAGATCAATGAATTGGGCATGCATGCAACTAAAAATATTAAAAAGAACATATTAAAAATCTCTAATTAAGTACCAAATTAGAAATCTTGAAAACCAAAGGTGAGATTAATAAAATTGAAAGTAAGAAAACTATTGAGCTATTAAATAAAACTAAGAGCTTGTTTTATGTGAAAAACAATAAGACAGATAAACCATTGCTTAATCTGCTTTAAAAAAAAAAAGAAAACCAAATTTCAAGTAGAAAAAATGAAAAAGGTAAATCCACTACCAATGAAGAGGAAATTAAAGCAATCATTAGGAAATAGTTTGCTTAGTTATTTGCCAATATATCTGACAATCCAAACAAAATGATGAATATTTATTAAAATTACCCAGGATAACAAAGAGGAAATAGAATAATTAAATCACCCCATCTTAGGAAAAGAAATTAAGGGACAGTTGAATGGCACAGTGGATAGAGCACTGACCCTGGAGTCAGAAGGACCTGAGTTCAAATCTGGCCTGAGACACTTGACACTAGCTGTGTGATCCTGGGCAAGTCACTTAACCCCATTGCCTACCCAAAAATAAATAAAAGAAAAAAAGAAAAAGAAATTTAATAAAATATCAATGAGCTTTCTAAGAAAAAAATCTCAAGAGTCAGATGGGTTCACAAGTGAATTCTACCAAACATTTAAAGAACAAATAATTCCAATACTATATAAACTATTTGGAAAAATCAATGGAGTCCTATTGAATTCCTTTTATGGCACAAATATGGTGCTGATACCTACAATAGGAAGAACTAAAACAGAGAAGGAAAACCATAGATGAATTTCCCTACTAAATATTGATGCAAAAATTGCAAATAAAACACTAGCAGCGAGATTACAGCAATCTATTGCCAAGATCATACACTATGACCAGGTGGCATTTTTACCAGGAACGCAGGACTGGTTCAATATTAGGAAAACTATCAGCATAATTCACCAAATCAATAACAAACCAACAGAAATCGTATTATTTTCTCAATAGAGGATGAAAAAGCTTTTGATAAAATATAGTACCTATTTTTATTAAAAACACTAGAGAGCATAGGAATAAATGGAGCTTTCCTCAAAATTATAAGTAGCATCTATTTAAAACCATCAGAAAGCATTCTCTGTTATGGTGATAAACTAGAAGCCTTTCCAATAAGAACAAGAAGAAAGCAAGGATGCCCATTATCACCATTATTATTCCATATTGTACTAGAAATGTCAGCTACAGTAATAAGAGAAGATAAAGAAACTGAAGGAATTAGAATAGGCAATGAGGAAACAAAACCATCACTCTTTGCAGCCAATATGATGGCATACTTAAAGAATCCTAGAGAATCAACTAAAAAATTACTTGAAATAAATAACAGCTTTAGCAAAGTTGTAGGATATAAAATAAATCCACATAAATCATCAGCATTTCTATATATTACTAACAAAGCCCAGCAGCAGGAGATAGAAAGAGAAATTCCATTTAAAATAACATTAGACATTATAAAATACTTGAGAGTCTACTTGCCAAGACAAACACAGGAACTACATGAACACAATTACAAAACACTTTTCACACAGATAAAGTCAGATCTAAACAACTGTAAAATTATCAATCATTCATTGGTAGGCTGGGGCAATAAAGGACAATTTTATGTATTTTAATTTACTTATTCAGTGTCATAAATCAAACTACCAAAAAATTGTAGAACTACAGATAATAATAAAAAACTTCATCTGGAAGAACAAGAGGTCAAGAATATTAAGGGAATCAATGGAAAAAATGCAAAAGAAGGTGGCCTAACCATACCAGATGTAAAACTATATTATAAATCAGCAATCACCAAACCAATGTGGTACTAGATAAGAAACAGAGTGGTGGATCAATGGAATAAATTAGGTACACAAGACAGAGTAGTGAATGACCATAGTAATTTAGTGTTTGATAAATCCAAAGATCTCAGATTCTAGGATAGGAATTCACTATTTGACAAAAATTGCTAGGAAATCTGGAAAAGAATGTGGCAGCAACTACATATAGACCAACATCTTACACCATGTAAGGTCAAAATGGGTATATGATTTAGACTTAAAGGTTGGTACTATAAGCAAATTAGGAGAGAAAGAAACAGTGTATCTGTCAGACCTATGGAGAAGGGAAGAATTTTTTGATCAAACAAGGGATAGTAATCATTATGGGAAGTAAAATGGATAATCTTTATTTATTAAATTATAAAATGTAAAAAATGTTGTGAAGTGAACCAACCATTCTGGAGATCAATTTGCAACTCTGCCCAAAGGGAAATCAAACTATGTATACCCTTTCTCCCAGCAATACCACTACAAGATCTGTATCCCAAAAATCATAAGAGTTTCCAGATTTACTTCCACGTAATTCTCAAATTCTGTCTAGCCTCATTGTAACTGTTTTCTAAATGCTCATTGTTCAATTAATTTATTGACTTAAAAGATGGACAAGAATTCAATATATCGTGATAAGGAAGAATGGCATTTCAGGCCTACAGGTTCTACGTGAGAAAAGGCAACTAATTTCAAAAGTGCAGGATGCATTTAGGGAAGAGAGTTTAAGGTACAAGAAGGGGGAAGGGGATAAGTATTTATTAAGCACTTACTTGTAGAAACTTAAGGAAGGCAGTCCGGCAGCATACAGTAAAAGTCTAAATAAATCCTAACTTTTGGCTCAGTAATTCCTTTGGTGGTCATAAGTCCTTTAAGTGTCATAAAACATACAAAAATGTCCTAAGATTTTCTTAGGGATGTTATATGTAATCATGAAGAGTCAGAAATTACCTTAAGGCCCAACCAAATGGAAATAGTTAAACAACTTATAGTATATTAGTGTAGTGGAAACCTAAAATTCAGTTAATAGCAATAAGAAATGTAGCAGTGACTATTTTAAAAAATATGCCACAGACTCGAAAGTGATACTATTTTATGTGTTGGAATTATGTAAATGAAAAATGTTACTAAAGAAGCTTAGTTGTATTGCTATTTAATATTAAAAGGTTACAATTAATAAAAATAGAAAACTATATATTTGTTACAAACAAAACGTCCTGTGAGGGCTGGAGAAGGAGAGATGAAATCATGGAATGACTCCCAAACTGCAATTGACCTAGTTTGGTGGTCTTACTCTACCCTCATATTTCCCCATCCCCATTCCTCATTCCCAGATTGTGCCAGGAGCAATTAGATCCTACTTTGTGGTCAGAGCCCCATATTAGTGAATTCAATCTTTACCTACAGGTCTCCTAAGCCACACTATCATAATATAGACATAAATAGATCAACTCCTGAAATTTAATCATGAGTTTTTCACCTCCCACTGCCATTCTGGGAAAATATGACTGTTTACATGAATAAGCATTTTGGGCATGATGGCAGGAAGCACTCTACCCATTATGTTATTGCCACACTTTCCTGAACTTTGGTTGTGATTTTAAAAAATGAAGTTTAAAGGAACATGACTGATCATCAGCCTCTTGAAATATTAGTGAAAATGTATCATAATATCTGGGATTGGAATAATAAGGGTCCTTTTGCCCCCTTCAAATTTTAATATAGTCCTGGAAAGTTCCGACTGCATTTAGTAATTCTAAGCCACTCAAGTCTTTTCTTTTTTGAAGAGCTGAAGGACTCTTGGAATAAGTTGTCCCTCTGATGTGGGGTCCTAGATTGCCCAACACTGAGGCAGTCCTAAATATAGGACCACAGGGGAATGAGAATCTATATATCTGAGTGACAGTGACTTGGAAAGGAGGGTCTGCCACATATATAATAACATGCTGCAAGAAAACAGCATCCAGGTTAAGATTATACCAAGGAATCCTCAATGAATCTGGAGAGGCACTCTCTTTTGCAGTGAGATTTTGAGGGAGAAAGGGTTTTGAGAGAGGTCACCAAAGGAGGGACATCCTTGCTCAAGGAGATGTGGTGAAAGATCCCAGTCTGGGTCTCGGTTGTGGTAGCTGATCAAAACAAGTGTGTTGGGGAAACGGATATTTATAAGCTCTTAGTACTGATTTGGATATTTATGACAACTTCTTTGCTAGTTATTGTGGGCAGAATCAAATGGAAAACCTTGAGTTCCTTGAATCATCACTGGTTATGTAAAACAGGTGTTACTTCTGCCATCCTGAAGATATGAGTAATTTCAATAGAGTTTTGGAGCCATATTGCAACAGTTGAAAATAGAGTAGGTGGTAAGGAAGTAGAAGCATTTCATTTGGATAACATTTTCAAGAAGTGTGACAGTGAAAGGGAAGAAGACAGATGGAATGGTACTAGGTGGGTTCAAATGGTCAAGGGACAACTTGATTTTAGTAGTGGGGTGCACTAAACATATTTATAGCAGATAGGGAGACTACAGAGAAAATGGAAGGACTGAAGATGAGTGAGAGAGAACTGATGATTACTGGAGTAAGGTCTTCCAGGAAGCATGAGAAAAAGAGATCAATGACATAGTGGAAAGAGTGCTGGACTTAATATCAGGAAGACTTGAATTCAAATCTTATCTTAGACACTATTCCTGTGACCCTGGGTGAGTCGATTAACTTCCATCAACCTTAATTTCTCCAGCTACAAAATGGGGATAATAATAATAATAACAGCTACGTCATAGGGCTTCTGAGAATATCAATAGAGATAACATATGTAAAGCTCTTTGCAAAATTGAAAGTGATATTTAAATTTTGGGTGGCCAGAATTGTCATAGTTTCATGGCAATGGACATCAGCTATACATAGAAAAATTTTCTGAAGTGCTCTAGCCTTCTGTTCACTAAATGATTTCCCCAAATCAAATAGCATGTAATAAATCTAGTAAATTACAGGAAAAGACCTGATAAGTTTGTGTTCACTGATTTTTGCCCAAGTCTCTGTGAACTTTGGTGTTTACAAAGAGAGGATGATGAACTTGCCCTGATGATTTGAGACAGAAACACAGCACTTGACTGGAAGAAAGTTGATGAAAACAGATCCAAAGGAAAGTACTAATAAATATCTTGGTCATTTGCTCTTGGGAGGCACTATGATAATATATCATCTCTTGATCATTTTTATCCTGTGGTCTTCCTACACTGTAGGACAAGGAAAGCTGAAAATCTAACAGAATGTTCATTTCTTAGAATTAGTAGATGCCTTGGACTTCTGGGGAAAGTAGTAAACTATACTGTTTCATGGGTTCATTTTTTGTTTTACATCTTACTGTATTTTTGTCTTTATGTTCTTAGATGAATCAAAGAATAAAAGGTATTTGGGCACAGAGTACCAAAAGTTAATTTAAATCATTTAAAAATAATGTTTCTTGATCTCATAAGCCCCTTAGAAATAAAATGTTGTGGAATATGGTAAAGGTATCTAGCCAGGGGGCAAAGATTCAGAGTACAGCTAACAGAGAAATGATGAAGACATGTCTGGCCTAGGAGCTCTCCTTAAATGGAGATTCCAGGAGAAGTCATCCAATCAGATGGAGAGACCTCAAGGGCAGAATCTACTTGCAATGTGTGAATCCCAGGATTATAATGAGTATCCAAGAAAAACACATTTTTGTGGCATGGTAGAGAAAGTCCAGAGTATATTCAGGAAAGAAATGCCTAAACAAAAGTACTGAGTAAGGCCCGAAGTTCTGTGCTGTGTAGGTATTGACAATATCCTATTTAAGGATCAGACTCTTTCTGTAGCACATTACTGGAGTGAACTTCAGAGATAGACCACCATATGGTTCCATCACTCTCTTGAGGAGAAATTCATTTTCTCTACTTGACACTCTAGCTCTTGAGACCCTACCCAATGTGTTTTCTTTCTACAAACCAATCACTCAAAGCAACACATTCATATTGTGTGTGGCATTTATGGAACTAGCTATTCATAATAATGGAACTTTGGAATCTTAAATATATCCATTTACATAGCAATGGAGCAAAGGTAAAAGATTATGGATAACAATGCATTAAATATTATTAAATATTGATAACAAAATGTAGTATAATATTCATCTAAGCCCCAATCACACTCTCCCACTAATACATTCAACAACTATGGTGAAGAGGGGAGCCTGGAAAGGAAACACATTAAAGAGGAAAACTCATGAACTTAGTGTAACTCACAAGTGTAGACTCAGCCTCCACATTTTTCAGTACATATCAGAACATCTGTAACACATGAAATCTCTTCCTCTGTGCATTGATTGACTGTTAATCCTTATCACTGTTCATACTGAGGAAATCCCCTTCTTTTCTCTACTTAAGTCTGGTCTTTATAAGTTCTTTCAGTTAATTATCACCCTTAAAGGGTAGTCTAGAAATGTTAGCTTTTTATGTGAACAGCCATTCTCTTCAAGCCAGGAAATTGCTAAGCTCAGCAAACTAGCTATCTCTGAGCTATACAGACCATCTCAGAAAGTCACCTACCCACCCAGTTATTGCAGTGGCCAATAAGAATGGGACAACATAGTTCAGGTTCAATTTTGTCTTTCATTAAATTTCTTTTTTTTACTTAGCTAAAACCTGCTTTCTTTCCTTGCCTGTTACATATGGTCAAGCAAAATAAATTTCTCCATTGGCCATGTCCAAAAATATGTATCTCATTTTTCCTTCTGAGTCTTTCACCACTCTATTAGGAAGTGGCTAGAATCATTTTCTTGATCAGAGTTCCTATGTTTTTCAGTTTCATTGTATAGACTTTATTTTGATTCTATTCACTTCACTTTATTTTGGTTTATAAATGACAGGTTTCTCTCATTTCATCATTCTTACAATATTCCATCACATTTATATACCATAACTTGTTCAACTATTCCCCTTTTGATAGGCACTCCTTCAGTTTCCAATTTATTGCCAAAATAAAGACAAATAAATATGTTTTTATATATCCTTAGCAAGAATGGTTTTGCTTAGGACTAAGTCATCTATGGAGGCAGGTATGTGGTACAGTGAATACAGCTTCAGTCCTGTAGTTGGGAAAATCTGAGTTCAAATCTAGACGCACTATGTGTGTGACCCTGGACAAGGTCACTTAACTTTTCTTTGCCTCAGTTCTTCATCTGTAAAAATGGGGACATACTGCAGAATTAAATAACAAAACACTCCAGTTTTTTTGCCAAGAACACCTGAACAACAAATAAACCCTCCCTAAACCAACCCTTCATTATAGTCCCTCTTCTCCCACCTCCCCTTTCCATTTTGTTTCCATATTGAGAGAAATGTACTTCTTTATCCAATTGTTTGTATGTATGTGTCACTTCAGATGAGAGTGAGGTTCAGGTGTCAGCTATTCCTACACCCTACATCCTTGTTTGTGGAGAGGTCTATTTGTGCACCTTCATTATGTGAGATAATTTTGAATAATCTTCTTCTCCCTCCTGCCCCACTATGTATTGCTCTTTCCCTCTCTTTGCATTTTTACAAATATCATGAAGATATACTGAACCAATCACAGGCCTCCTCTATTATTAAATACCCTCTTTAATTTCTGATGATAGGGTTCAGAGGAAACACATATTTCATCTCCCCATATTAGAATATAAGCTGTTTGTCCTTGTTTTGTCCTCTATGATTATTAGTTCATTTTTACTTTTGTGTGTTTACCTTGACTCCTGTGTTTGTACTTCAAAGCACAAATATTGTGCTTTCCTCAGAAAAGCTTGGGGGTCCTCTAATTCCTTAAAAATCTATTTTCCCTCTGTAGGATTATCTTCAGTTTTGCTAGGGAAGTTAAATTACAAAAACACAAGCTCAACAATAATAACTTTTTAAATGATTGATTGATCAATCTTATAAAATGAAAACAAATAAAAAGATAAAACTATCATATATACATAAAGACAATGTACAAAATGAAAAAAATCTATATAAAGCTCTTGCTATTTAATGATATTTGTTTGTTAATCAATCATACATTTATCAGATTCCTCACAAATAATCAGTTCTCTCAACTACCTTAACTTTTCCCTTCAATATTTTCACCATGTTATCTTTGAAATCCTTTTTTTCTAATACAGTGGATAAACAACCCTCAGTCATGTTCTGGTTAAATTACTACAAATTCCATATTAATAAAATATTGTTGAGTTTTTACTTTATCATTGCTATGTAGAATGATAATCACCATCTTTTGTCCAGAGGCTTAGTTTTTCATGTATGAATAAATCCTGATTCTACCACTTATTAAATGTGATGTTAGGCAACTCACTTAACATTTAGGACCTTAGTTTCCTTTTCTTTAAAATGTGAGGATCCTGTTAAATAATACCTAAGATTCATTAAAGCTTTCACATTCTGTGCTTCTGTGGAAAGTTCTTTAGATAAATTGCTCCCATTAAGTAAAGAGAAATATGGGAGAGGAGGGACAAGCAAAACTTCTTTTGCATAACTACTCTAATAATGGCCACCATTAAGATTTGAGAAAATAGAATACATTTCATGTTCTTATTTTGTTTTCTTTTATTTTAGAGCCTTGTATTATCACGAGGCAACAGCTAGAAGAGAAAAGGCTGGCTTTATATAATGGTGAACATCGATCAGTTATAATCCTAAATAATCAAAGCCTGGAATTTTCCTGTGCTATTGGTTACACTCCCATAAAGCCAAGTTTGAGGACATGTGTGGATGGGCACACGGATCTCCCAACCTGTATCTCAGGTAAATATTCAATTTTGCAGATGTATGTTAGAAATGGGAAACTTCAACAGAGAGAAAAGACAAAAGTAAGGTAAGTGATACAAAGACAGGTGAGTAACATGAGAAACATGAGAGTGTTTTCTGGCACTTTGTCAATCCTTCTGTCAGATATTTAAAGATCATAGGAATATTTAGAGCTAGAAAGTAGGATTTAGAGATGGAAAGAACTGTATACACTGAGTCCAGTACCTTTCTTTTACACAGGCTGAAACTGAGCACAGAGAGATCAAGTGACTTGTCCAGGGTCACACAGATAGTAGATGTCTGAGGCAGAATTTGAATTTAGATTTTTCTGACTCTGTTCACTACATGCTATACTGCATTCAGATCACAGGGACCAGCACACAAACTTCAATCTCATCACATAAACTTAAGCAACATCAGTTTAAATGTGTGGTGTCCTTAGGAAACATTAGAGAATCGATGAAAAAACTCATTGAAACAGCACCTTCAGTAAAGCTGTAGGATATAAAGTAAGCCTAAATATCATCAGCATTTCTATACATTACCAACAAAGTCCAGCAGCAAGATATAGAGAGAGAAACTCCATTTAAAATAACTACAAAGGAGGGAGGGAGGAAAAAAAATTGGAACTCAAAATTTTAAAAATGAATGCTAAAAAATTTACATAAAACTGAGAAATATTTGGTGAAATAAAAATATGTTAGAAAAAAAACAGTAAGAAAATCAGTGTCACTGCACCAGAGAGTATATGGGGGTAAAGTAAAAATATTGTAAAGGTGTTTGGGGAGAGAGAGAATGTTATGAATATCTTGAACACCAAAAAGATTTTATATTTGATTGGAGAAAGCACAGGAACAGCTCAAGGTGACAACCCTGAATATTATCAGCCTTTCTTCCAACTTCTGGAAAAGAATAGACAAAAACAAAGTGAATCAAAATTTCTGGGCTGAAACTTTTGTTGGTTGTCTTACTGTAATGCTGATCACAGAGCTAAGCATCTTGGGAGGATGAAGAGGAAATTTGTGAAGCAGATGAACCCTTTTCCCCCTCTTGATGAGACAGTATGAGTTTGGTCACTTGTCTTTTTTTTGGATTGGCTTCCTTTTGTATAGCGCAATTCTGTGTGCTGGAAGAAGATGTAAACTACCTAAGATGTTGAACACAGAGAAGATGGAAGAGTTTGGCAATGATTAATCTATAAGACAAATCAGAAACAGCTTCTTATTTCTTACACATTCTCTAGGACATTCATTACACAGTAGCAAGTCATTGGCAGCCAGAGGCCATAGGACCCTGGTGAAAAAAGAACTGCAAATACTCTTTCCTCTCCTCTTCCCCTTTTTTTCTAGAATATAATGAAAACTTTATTGGCATTGAGTAAAAAGTTGGCAGAGAGGCTGAGTGTGCATGCTTGTTTTTAGATACAGAACAAAACTACATATCACAATTTTAGCTCTATTACTCTACCACTATTTGGACTTCTGTTACCTAAACTAACTATTATTTCCTTCATCAAGTTGGAGGGACAGCAAGGCAGACATTGATTTGTACAAAAACAAAACAAAACAAAGCAAAACGTATGAACTAGTATTTAGGACCCAAGTTTATACTATTACCATCTAATATTATTTCTGAGAAAAATTCCTGAGAGGATTTAGTGGTGTTGCAAAATAGGATAAGAGGGACTAAAGCCCCTATATAGAGCTGCTCCAACTTTTTGCTCTTCATCTCACTCACTTCATTCTGTTTCAAATTCTTGAATTTATTAGTTGAGGCCATATTTGCACAAAGATCTTCCTGACTCCAGGCCTGACACTGTATTCATTGTGCCAACTAGCTACTTCATTAGTCCTCATTATGAAGCAGAATGCCTATCCTCTTGGATAATTTCCTCTGGCTACTGGACCTTTTTATTCTTTTACCCAGCATTGCACATAGCACACTGCCTTGCATATAGAAGGTATTTAATGAATACTAATTAACTGTTTGATTAACTGACTCCATAAGCCTTTTACAAAAGATGAGGATAAAGTAGTATAGTGGAATTGAGGTGGTGGGACTTGTGGAAGTGGAGGGTGGATAATCTGTGTCGGAGGGTGAGCCATCTACACAAATCACTATGATGCAAGTTAGAATTTGAACGAAGGTACAGCAGGGCTCAGTACGTTGAGAAAATGAAGGAGAGGGGACAGTTATTAAATTAAGAGTTCTTGTTTTAATTCAATCTCCTATCTGTATTATCTTTTTTTACCACATAAAATTCTTTCTCCCTTCCTCAGGGGAAGTAGGAAAATGTGGACCATCTCCATCTATAAATAATGGAGACATCCTCTCCTTCCCATTAGCTGAATATGCTCCAGAATCAAGAGTGGAGTACAGATGTCAAAAATTTTATGTGCTACAGGGTTCCCAATTTGTAATGTGCAAAAATGGATTCTGGACAAATGAACGAAAATGTCTAGGTACGTACTAAATAGACTCAGTACATAAGGAAAATGTACTCAATGATGGATGTGATCAGTCGGTATTTACAACTGTAAATTATCCTGTAAAATGTTACAGGATAGTATGATAGGGGAGTAAATCTCAATAAACAAAAACACTTCTATAGTAAACTTCAAAGAAATGCTTGACTAATAGCAATGCTTGTTGCCATGACTAAAGTCTCCATGTTCTAAGCCCTGCCATGCACCCTTGTAAGAATTTTTTTGTCATTACATGACTAAATGGATAGCTCATGCTTTTCACTCCAATTTGATCCTGGCCTGGTTTCTGGGAGTAGTAATTTAAGAGAAAAAGAAATGTGTTTCCTTTCCCTTAGACTCAAGGAGAACTCTTCCTTTTTTCCACATTGGAAAACACAACAAACTAACTCCCCTTACACCATTTTCTATGCATTTTAATTTTAACATAGCCCTATGTATACAATACTTGGTATAATTTTAATGTTCTTTGCTAGGTACTTTGGGAAATGCAAAGTTGACTTATTTGTATTTCATTTCCAAAATTGATTTTCTTGTCCCAAAAAAGACAGATTTTGGAACAGTCATTTCCTAAGGAAGCCAGATGACCACTCCTCAAAGCTGTTAGGAAGAAAATTATTGTACATATTTGGCTGAGAATAGATATTCTCTGAGGTTCATCCTAGCTCAGATTTTATTACCTATGAATTCCCATTTTCCATTGATTATTTGGGAATCAACATGGACATTATAAATAGTGAAATGCTGATAATTTTATGGGAGGTTACGAAAGGACCTATCCCCAAGTAAAAGAAATAAAAGGTTTATTGAAGACACTAGACACAGGTGATATTTGTACACCTGGTATAGAGTATGATAAATGGATTGTGTTTATAATACAATTTTTTCATCATGACATTATTTCAAAATTCAAATTACATTTTCATCGTGACATTATTCCCAAAAATAGACAATGAAATTGTCATGTATCTCTAATTGTGGATGAGTTATTCTGTCCCCTTTATTATTTTTCTGTTTTTATACAGTACTAAGTGATTTTAGGAAATTACTTATTTGTTTACTCTATAATGATATCTTTCAATACAATTCTTCTTTTGTTTTTTTTTATAATCCCAGTTGACATTCTCCTTCACTTGTTTTTATAGAGAAATTTTTTTTGTTTTTTTGTCTAATTGTTTGAACTAGCCCCTTAATATTTTGATTGGCATTATATTAAATCATAATGTTACTTTCTGATAATTTTGCTGTCTTTAATTTATTTTTGATAACAATTTACATGCATAATTATTATGTAATTCTTAATATTATTTGTGCATATAGATTTCATCTAAATCTTAGAAATTTAATGCTGAGTATGTGAAATATTTTGAAGTTTTAATCAATATTACTTATTTTTTCTCAATTTTCTCTTATTTCATTACTAATCTGGAAAATGTTGGTGATTTTGTAGGCCTTTTTCTTATATCTAGCTATTATTGAATAACTATATTTTTTAAAATGTTTTGAGTCTCTTCAGTTTTTAAAATATATGCTCCTATCATCTGTAGCTTTTCTTTTTTCTTACTAATTCCTTTCATTTTTCCCCTTGCCTTATTGCCAAATTCAGCATTTTCCCAAGAGACTAAGGCATGAACATTTGAAATAATAAACAGAAGTTTCTATGGGAAGGAATGATAATACACATTAACAACACAGATTCCAGTAGTATCCACCAGGCAAAACCCAATTGCTTACAGGGAGGATTTGCCTGCCTGAAGTTGCCCCAGAGTTAACAAGATCCCATCCTGATCCTCAGAAAAAAGGTTATGTCCATTCCAGTAAGCCATTAAGATACAAACAGTCCTATATTCCTAAAAAAAAAAAAAGAAACAACCATAGTATAGCCACATCCTGGTAATCCTATCAGCATCAAGTTACTCAAAAGGAACAAAATGCATTTAGGAATAAAGATATCATAATGGTACCACAATGTATTCAGGTATGCAAAGTTACCTGGTTCAAAGCTATCTGAATAAATGTGAGTGTGTGTGGAATGAGCAATATATGTGAGAATGGGAATATCTAAATCAGAGAGAATGATCTTCAAGTAAATGTTGTAAAATGGTAATAAAGAATTCTAGCAGCTGGGTTACATTCAGTTTGGTAAGATCTGGGGTGGGGATGAAACACAGGAAGGTAAGTTCTAAGAAACACAGTCTGAAACAAGAAGAGAGAGTGAGCTGTTGCCTTTTCTGCTTTCCCATACTTATTCTTAATCCATCAATCAATAACCATCTATTAAGTACCTTAACTACAACATGGGCAGCTAGGTAGTACAGTGGGTAAAGTTCTGATTCTAGAATCAGAAAGACCTGAGTTCAATTCCAGTCTCAAATACTTACTGTCTGTATAACCATGGGCAAGTCACTTACTTAACCTTGTTTACCTCAGCTTCCTCATCTGTAAAATGAACTGAAGAAGAAAATAGCAAATAACTCCAGTATCTTTGCCAAGAAAACCCCATTTGGGATCATGAAGTGTTGGACCTGACTTAAGCCACTAAAGAACCACAAAATTAAATACAACCCTGCTCCCAACTCTCTCTTAGGCCTTGCCTTTTTTCTCCAACCCTAACTTGAGTATGGACTGTAAATCACAGTTATGGTTGTCACTGGTCTGCTGTGGGAAGGAACCACATCTATTTTTAGGTGTTGGGAGCAGAGAAAAAGCCACTACCCACCCTGGTTAGAGCTCTGATCATGTGTTATTATTCAGAATTTAATATCGTATGATTCAGCATTATGAATAGAAGAAAAGGAGAAAATTACTTACATTATCACTGCAAAAATGTCTTTTATATTCCCAATTATTTTGGAAAATGTAAAGTTGTACATACTTATTAACAATTGAAATACATATTCTTTTCATCTTTCAGAGGCATGTATAGCATCAAAAGAAATGATGAAGAAAAATAACGTAGAATTCAGATGGGTAGGCTCTGAAAAACTTTATTCAAGAACAGGAGAAGAAATTGAATTTATTTGCATGAGGGGATTTCATAGAGCTTCAATATCACCTCCATTTAGAGCAAGATGCCTAGAAGGAAAAATCAATTATCCCAGATGTATATAACAGACCTTTTTCACTGTGGTGAGTTCTACATAATCCTGGGCTTTTCTGATGTGGGTTCCATTCCTACTTTGTGATATTCTTGTTACTGTAACATTTTAATGTAAAGATGAGAAATCCACCCAATTCACTTCTAAGAATACCACAGCAGAACCATCCTAAAGAGATTACTGTTTGATCTGCTTTTCAAAATCTCCAGGAAAAGAGATTGACAACCTTCCCCATATCCTACCACAACCAGCAAAAAGAAAAAAAAATTAGCCTTAACAAATCCTCATTGTCAGAAGATGTGACTTGGGTTTTATAACATAATTTCATAATATGTATATATGTATATATATATATATATATATATATATATATACACACACACACACATATACACACATACACATATATGTACATACATACATATATATGTGCATACATATATATATAATACATAAATATTTTATTTTCAATTGATTAAAAACCTCTTCACTTTGTCAAAAAGAGCTAAATTGGTTTAACTTGGTTCTGGAAGAAATTATGGCTCCTACATCTACATTACCTAAAGATACCACTTCAAACTAGAATTTATTATACTCTTCTAAGGACATTTTTATATGAAACAAAATATTTACTCTGTGTGGTTCCTAGTGGAGTTATTATATAATGAGAATTTAAAAAAAAGTTTAAAAATCTTTCGGGGACAGATGAACCATCATTATGTACAGATTTTCAATGATTTTTATTAAACTCTGAAAACCCCCATAGCAAATTGAGTTGTTGTATGGGGACATGGGAGGAAAGGAGAGGAAGTATACTGACAGAAAAGAATAAGGACATTGACAACAATTCTCTCTGGGCTGCTTTCAGATGTTCCTTAGCTCTATATCAATATATTGATACCCAGTTAGAGAAACAATGGTATAGAACAGGTATAAAAACAAAGAAACAAAAGGGAATCTGTTTTCTGCCAAACTTTATATTATCATTTGAGAACCTGTTCTTAACGGAAAATTCCCCTGGAGTTTAGGGTGTCTCATTAAGCTAAGCAGATCCATCACTAACACACAATTCTGTCTTCTGTCCCTCCAAAACCTGTTCATGTTCTTTTTAAAAAATGCAACATCAAAGAATTTTCATAGCACCATTATTCTATATAAATCTTTGGGTTATTCAAGCTGCATATTTTCATTCACTTACTAATTGTTACTTTTGGTGATGTTATTTCCTTATGAATTCAGCTACAGAAATAATGAAGGACAATGCCATCAGCTATATCTTACCACTGTTTGGAAATGATGACTTGGAACAAATGCTCAGCCTCAATCTGCATGATTTGATCACTTTCTACTTTGTGATAAATGTTTTGATTTAATTGTATTCACACAGTTTGGTCCATCATTCATTCAACTTACTTCTGACTTAAAAATGTTCATCTTTTAAACTGTCAATGGTGAAACAGTTAAGAAAAAGTCACTATGTATCAATAAAACTCTCACTATAAGAAAACACTGAGTTATTTAATTACCTGGGGTCATCACTTCTCCATATGCTCAGAGAGTAAATGCCATGATGTCTGTTCTGTACTAGGGAAAGATTGGCAGTCTTCTGGGGAAGAGAATTATCTCTGGGAGTCTGCAATCCCTTTGGTTACATTTAAAATTCAAGTGCTCATTATATCTAAAAAGGCCAGTGCTTTCTTTTATTGATATGTTTAATGATTGTTCTTGATCTTCAGAAGATCATAGAGACCAACAGGGGTGCTGCAGAAAAAGCAAATATTATCCCTTTTTTAATGGAAAATGGAAACAGTGTGGAGGCTACAATGCATAAGCTAGGAAAACCTTCTTTCATTCCTAGCAAATATTGTAATGTATCATCAGAGAGAATTATGGTATATCTAGAAACAAAATCAATGATCACAAGAAGAGGAAGTCTACCTCAAAAACAGGTTATGTGAGGTTAATGTAATTTCTTTGTTTAACAAGGTTACTAGATGTGTAAATCACAGGAATTCTGATGGTAGAATTTACCTAGCATGACAAAACACTGGACAAAGTCCCTTCTACTAGACTTAGGGACAAAACAGAGAATTGTGGACTACATGACTATTCAGTTAGTTGAGTTTGCAACTGGTTGAATGCCCAGCAAAAGACTAATTATGAATGGGGGATGGGGAGAATCTATCAGCTGAGAGAAGTCTCCAGTTGAGTTCTTCAAAGATCTGTCCTGGCCCTATGCTAAGCACTATTTTTATCAGTGACTTGGTTAAGGACACAGATGTCATGTTTATTAAATTTGTAATTAATATGTTAAATGAGAGAACTGGGATCTTTAAAACACTTGACTCAATTGACCATCAGATTAAATCCATTCAGAATAAATTTAATAGGAATAAATAATAGGAATAAAATAAATTAAATAAGAATAAAAATAAATTTGAGAGGAACAAATAAATATATAAATTTAATAGAAATAAACAGGTTCAAAAAAATCAGTTTTGCAATGACAATTAAGACAAGGCTAGATTGTATTTCACATAAAAATAGTTTAGTTTTTTAATAGATTGCAAGTTCAATATTTTTCTATTCAATTCAACAAGGATTAAGTAAAGTCCTGAGTAAACAATGGGAATAAAATACTAATGAACATCTTAGCCTTCAAAGAATGTTTCAGGAGGGGATAGGGGAATGAATACTATGTGTATGCAATGATGATTCAAGATCATTGAGAAAAGGGAGACTTAACTGAGGAGATTTGAAAGGCTATGTGGAAGAGTTTGAACATTATCTGAACTTGGAAGGAAACCAAGGATTCTGATAAGTAGAGGGTGAGGAAATGCAATGTGACTTGGCAGCCACAAAAGCTAATTGGATCATTTTCTTTTCACCAGATTTGTAATTTCATTGATTTAGGAAAATTTCCAGTGAATCACTCTGTCTATTAATGTGAATCAGGACCTTCCGCACAACTGTATAGATACCTCAGACTTCATTAATAGAAGGAACATAGGAAGTGATAGACCCACTGTGTTCTGCCTTGTTCAGACCATGTCTGGAATATTGCGTTCAGTGTTGGGCACTCTAAGATGTACAATAATGAATAGGAACCTGTCCCACGGAGGATGACTAGGACATTGATGGGCATTAAGATAATGACACACAATATTGATTAAAGGAACTGAGAATCCTTATCTAATAAAAGACTTTGAGAGACATGATTGTTGTCTTAAAGTATGTAAAGAGCTATAACAGAAGAATAGCATCGGTGGGTTCTACAAACTAAGTATACTTTGGGGGATTTGGGAGAGAGGAGCCCTCACTGCACCTCACTCAACTTCAAACACTTCATTTAATTTTCTTCTGAGACTGAACTATGCCAAGATATTAAAGAGGGAATCTTTGTGTCTCAGACCTCTTTTTTATTGCTTGTCCTGATGTATAGAAACAACTCTCTGATCTCCAAAAGGGCAATGAGGGAAAGCTATTGTGAAGAGCTTTGAAGGCCAAACAGAGAAGTTTATGTTTGATGTTGGAAGTGATAGGGAGCCACTGGAGTTTATTGATTAGAAGAGGGACATGGTCAGACTTGTACTTTAGGAAAAACACCTTAACAGCTATCTGGAGGATGAATTGGAATGGGAAAATACTTGGGGCAGAGAGACTAATTTGGGAACTATTGCAATAGTCTAAACAAAAAGTGATGAGAGCCTAAACTACTTTAATGGCTGATAAAATGAGCTAATTCCAGAAGGTCAGAATTTAGAGAAATTATTATATATTTAATAAAAGAAGAAACCAGGACCTAAAATTGTATTCATTTGCTTGTTTTTCATCATGCCTAAGAATCTATTATTTCTTTGATATGGAAATTCTTTGCATTAATTCAGGTTAAAATCTGACTGTACTTAATAGGCACATGTCAATGGACATCATGTTATGTTATGTTATGTTATGTTATGTTATGTTATGTTATGTTATGTTATGTTATGTTATGTTATGTTATGTTATGTTATGTTACATTACATTACGTTATGTTACGTATGTTATGTTATGTTATGTTATGTTATGTTATGTTATGTTATGTTATGTTATGTTATGCTATGTTATGCTATTTTTTCCTGGAATGCCTTATAACCATGAAGTGGCATAGTATATTATAAACATGGTCAACCATAATGGAAGACTGATTGGAATTTAATTTCTGTCTCTGAATTACACTAACTACATGAGCCTCAGCAAGTCATTTAAACTCTCCTCCCAGGAAAACCTCTAAGACTATAAATTGCAGAGAAAATATCCAATCATCATTGAATTTCTTTTTTTATATAATAACAAAAGCTGACATTTATTTATAAAGAGCTTTAAAGTTGGAGGAGCACCTTTTACATATGTTGTTTCATTTCAACCTCACAAAAGCCCCTTTAGGTAAGAATTGCAAGGATTATTGCAACCATCCCACAGATAAGAAAAGTGAATGACTGAATCCATGAATAGAATGGGGGAGGAAGAAAGAAGCATTTATTAAGGGCCTACTATATGCCTGGTGCTGAAGATGCAAGGACAAAAGTAAGACATCCTTTCCCTCAGTGAGCTGTGCTGGCAAGGCAAGACAAGGCTGCTCTGGGCTTTTTTTACCCAGGTGAGACAGACCTTTCCTGTCAACCTTCCAAGTTGACTTGGGTTAGAAAATTGTTTCACTCCATTTTTTATTGGTTCTGACATTCCAGAATTCATCTTGGGGTGCTATTCTATGGTTCTTTGGTGGTGAATATGGGAAAGTTCAGGTGATTCCTGCTTACTCCACCATCTTGGCTCCAGGAAGTGATGAAAGGTAATCTCAGAGGGAAGGCATTAGAAGTGTTTTGAGTGTGTGGGGGTGGGGAGAAGACAGAGAGAGGATTCTTGAAGAAGGCAATATATAAGTTGAGTCTATAATTGCCTTGACAGGCCCTGCCTCAGCAAGCCAGGAGGAGGCCCTGAACCCTAGCACAGGTCAGTGATAGAGGCCTAGTAGCACCTTTATAGCAGCTGGTGAGCATCTACCCCACTCCCACTCCCACAGAGTCCTAGCTTCTCTCCTCCCAAACCCCCTATCCTCATTATAACACCTGGCCAAGCCAGGCACCACACTAGCTACCTAGCCCCTATCCCAATCGCATTCCACACCCATCTCATCGTACCACCAGGCAAGCCCCAGCACATCATGAGGGTCCCTCTTGCTCCTCAATGTAGTACCAGGTGAACAACCAGATGCAAGCATCAGACCCCTTCCCATGGCTGAGCACAGCATGAGGAGAATGGTAGATGCCAGCACATGCCCTGCCCTTTGGCACAACACCAAATGAGCAACCGAAACACTCACAATGGCACAATAGTACCAGCCACACCCCATACCCCACACCCTCAGAGAAGTACCAAGCAAGATGCCAAACACCCACTGCTCCGGTAAAGCATGAGGATTCCCTGGGAGCCTCAGGACAGGACCTGCACAGTTACAGACAAACAGCTAGAGCCTGCAGCCTCCATCACAAGAAGCTTGGGACAGTACTCCTTCCACCCTAGGAGCTGAGTTCAATGTTAAAAATAATGAAATAGTCTTCTGGGAGCCAAGATGACAGAGTAAGCAGTAAACCACTGCAACTCTCCCATACTCACTTCCAAACAACTATAAAATTGAACCCCAAACCAAATCCTGAATAGCAGAACCAGTGAAAAGACTGGATGAAACAATCTTTTAGCCCAAGAAACATGATCAGCAAGGAAGGTCCGTCTCATTTGGGTGAAATAGGAGCATAGCCCAGGACAGGAAGCATCCCAGCAAGCCCCACTTCAGCAAAAAATTGAGAGATTCTGAGCCCCAGTGTGGTGAAGCCGCTAAACACCAACACCAGGAAACCCCCACGTGTCTTAGCAAGCCAGGGGAACTGTCAGACCCCAGCTCCAAGAACCATCATATGCTTCAGCACAGGTCTAGGCAAACAGGTGTTCATAAACCTTATGCATTCCTAAGCAAACAAGCAGCTGCCAGCCAGCACAAGCCTCTCCATACTTCAACATAACAAACAGGCAGCCTCCAGAGGCCTGACCACAGATGCTTCAGTGTAGTCACTGGGAAATGCAGAAACACCCTAATGGCCCTCAGAACACACCAGAAACCACCACTAGCACCCTAGCTCAGCAGCAGATAAGCTACCCACCGTACCAGCCAACCCCAATCTCAACCCTGCAGTGCAGCACCAGACAGGAGGGCTCCGCTTTGGGCACCAGGGCAACATCAGTGCAACACCAGGTAAATAGCCAGGGCCTGAAGCCACTAGCACAAGGAAGGAGAGACAGTGCCCTTTCCACCCTGGGCAGAGCTCAAATTTGAAAGTAAGGAAAAAGACCAAAAAACAAACAAACAAACAAAAAAGATGAGCAGAAAACAACAAAACAGGAATCTGAACATAGAAAGTTATTATGGTGACAGGGAAGACCAAGA